TCAAGCTATTTTCAAGTTCACTGATTCTTTTGCCAGTTCAAAGATACTGTAGAGCTCTTAAGTAAATTTTAAATTTCCATTATACCTTTCAGCTCCAGAATTCCCATTTTTGAAAACATAATTATCTCATTAGTGATACTCGCTATTTGATGAGCATTGTCATCATAGTGTCTTTTACTTTTAAAGCATGGTTTCCTTTAGCTCTTTGGACGTATTTGTAATAGCTGCTTTGAGGTCTTAGTTTAATATTTGGGTCCCCTATAGGTAGCTTTTGTTGCCTTCATCCCCCAGCCCTGCCTTTCCCTCACCTTCCCCCCGAACCCCCGCCCCTGTGTATGGGTCACACTTTCCCATTTCTTTGTAAGTCTTAATATTTTTCTTTTTGAAACTTAGACACTGAAGGAAACATTGCAACAATTCTAAATATTGAGTCCCCTCTTCTGTGAGCCTTGTTTTTGTTTGTCTATTTGTTTAGCAAAGTCTATTCCTCTGCAGTATAATCCCTTTGATGTTTGTCCTCAATTGGTGCAGACTTAAGAATGCACAGTCACCCTTGGGACAGTTTTTGTAGGGCTCTGTATCTCTCTCCCTGATCTCTGTTAAGGTCTCTACTTTGTTTGGCATCACACCCAGCTCCATTAAGAGCTGGCTGCTCTGTTGTTTTTGAAAAAACCCTAGGGCATCAATTGCTCCAACCTGATTCAACTAAATTCGGGTAGTAATTATACTTGGTCATTCTTGTGGTTTTCTTCCAGTGCAGGAGTGCTCTTCTTAGCCGTCTCTTTTACTAGTTTTGTCTGGTAAACTAGCTTACAGTTTAATTTGTTGCTCTCATGGAGTTACCAACCCCCTTAACTGCTTTCCACTAAAAAATCTCTTTAGGATGCCCTTAGCTTGAACTTCCCCACATTTTGTTTCAAAGAAACCCAATTCCTTTGGAGAGTTGGGACTGTTTCCCCCTGGTCACAATCTCTGAGCCACTGCTCTGGGTGTTAGGCAGGGGAGTAGGTAGCCTCTGGTCTTCTAGCCTGTCTCTCCTACTGGGGAATCTTAATGAGTGAGCTGGGGCAAGGGTAACTGGGCTCACAGTAGGCTTGGCCTGCCCTACCTAGGGTAGAGTTTCTGCTCTATGCATGGAAGCTTGGTGGGGCAAAAAGAGCCCCAAAGCTGTGCTCATCAGGAATTTAGCTTCTGTAACTCTTCCAAAAGGGATGAAGACTGCTGGCAGCCTGCCCGTTTGGTGAGATATCACATCCTTTGATTGCGAGTGGAGTGGAAGAGGAAACCTTATCTTCTTGGCCACAACCACTCGGTGTGGAGCTTCCATCAGGTTGAGCTGAGGGTGACTGGAGCAGGTCTTGGCTCATTGCCACAGGTTTTGCTATTCTGAGAGATTTCATAGTTTTTATGGAATAAATGTTTCTTCATTTGCTTTTTGCCCTGAATTCCAGTGATTTTTAAATGATTTTAAAGTAATTTTCACCAATTATGGTTGTTTTGGTGGGAAACAGGTCTGCAGAGATCCTTATGTTGCCATTCCAGAATTGGAATCTTCACTTTTGTCTTTTAAACTATATTTT